TGTCTATAGGCGTGAGTGTGAGAGGGATGGATACACTTTGTAATACAGATGTTAGAACAGTGCAGGTAAGGTAGCGGAACTGAAAGGGGCGCAACAGATTGCGAATTACATTCTCAACTAAGCCTGTTTGCACCCAAGTGCTAAAGAAGTGATAGCCCAAAGTATCTCGTCCACGGCGCTAGTATCGGTACAACAGTGTACACGCACCTTTAGATTTGTATGTTAAATCACACAAGTATATACATACATGGATCAAATGTTGTTCTTATTGGTAAACATTTCCTGTCAGATCATAGAGCAAGATGAGGTGGAGGAGACGGCATTTGAGGAGATGACGGCCGTCATATCGAGACTGCATTCCGTTGGTAGTCGCCTAAACGGCGTTGTTATGGATTTAACGTGAGTAAAGAACAATGTTATGACCACATTTTAATGATAGTTTAATATATCTTTTTTTTACATAACACTATAAAAAGGAAAGATTTCTATTTTTATATATATATTGAAATAACTCAAAAACTACGAGCCGATTTTAAAAATTCACCGTTGGAAAGGTAATTTATCAATGAAGATCATAGGCTATTTTTTTTTAATTTCACGCAGGCAAAGTCGCTAGCAACAGCTAGTCTATCAATGTTTAACTGTTTGATGATCGTTTTACAGCGCTTTATTACTTACGTTCCATCTTAAAGTGTCCATATTTTGTAAGTAAAATATTCATAATAAGAAAGTTTGAAGCTTCCTTTGACCTTATAATGATAATGAAGTAACCTAAAGCATCGAATTAAATAAATTACCGATGGTATGATAATGCCGAGATAAGACTATCTATTGTAGCATGTCACAAGTAAATAACTAATGTTACCTAAATTATACAATATCGACAAATCTGTTAATAAAATCTAAATCAGTTTTACTTATATAACCTAATAGCTTTTGCCGCCGACTCCGTCCGCGTGAAATTGAAAAAAAACGAAAGTGAGTAGCCTATGTGTTCTTCCAGACTATCCTCTATATCTATACCAAATTCCATCGAAATTCGTTCAGTAGTTTAGGCTACAAACTCCAACAAACATCCATCCATTCATCTAAACTTTCACATTTATAATACTAGTATGATAGCTTTTGTCCCCGACTCGTCCGCGTGAAATTGAAAAATAATAAAGAAAAAATATAGCCTATGTTATTCACAAGTAAATTACTTTTCTGACGTTGAAAGAATTTTTAAAATCGGCCCAGTTTTTGAGCCTATTCATTACAATCAAACTTATTTTCCTCTTTGTATAGTATAGATCTATATTACTTTTTATGGTTATGTTCTGTGAGAGTTCTACTATCCGAAAAGTTTGATAATAGGAAGATTTATGGCTCATTGACTTTGTTCACATCCTAATTGGTCAAATAAGATGTTTCCGTACCAATCGAACATTGTTAAAAATAATTGGAAACACGTGAATCGATTTGAAAGATGAAAAAGGATGAATGGAATAATTAAGAATCTGATTTATAGCACGGCTAAAACTCACGTGGGAACTTTCGGTGTAGGCACCGACCAGTTTCAAACCCGTAGGGGGTCCTTCTTCAGGGTGAGTGGTTGCCGGCTTTATTCGCTATCACGTGAGTTTTAGCCGTGTTATAAATCATATAGTATAATGTCTCACGAAAGATTTAATAAGTTAATTTAGAATCTATCTGATTTTCTAAGATTTTTATTTTGTTAATTTTAACGTCATAGGTTTCCTAAATTATTCGTTATTCCAAATATTCTTTTTCATTTATCAACTTAACGACATATAGATTAAAAAAATTCAGATTTAATAATGATAAAAGCGTTAATATAACAATGAACAAATCACTGATTCAATTTAAGATTGGTTATAAAGATATTTATCTCTGTCTAATTAAAATATTTCCTTTATCAGTTTTTTCGATACTAAATCTGTTTAATATATTTTAATTATAGGCCTAAAAGATAAAATAACAGTTCTTTATTAGTTTTTTTCACAAGGGCGATAAATTTATCAATTTAAAAATTGTACAATTCTATTGTTAATTTCATAATACAATTTGGCAAACGGTCAATAGATGTCGCTAAACAGTGACTACAACAATGAGTAAAATATTGTGGATCTTACAATACGGACAAGATGTACAGAAAAGGGATATTCTATTTAACATACTAGCTGTTGCTCGCGACTCCACGTGGAATTAAAAAATAGCCTATGTTACAGCGATAACATAGCTTTTTAATGGTGAAAGAAACATTGAAATCGGCCCAGTAGTTTTTAAGATATTTCAATACTATAAAAAAATCTTTCCTCTTTATAATACTAGTATAGATAAAACGTCTTCAGTTTTGATGATTGCAGGAAACTGATCGCTCCCAACACGAGTATATACTATACGTACGCGGGTTCTCTAACGTCACCAATGTGCAACGAAGTCGTCACCTGGATTTTGTTCCCTGAACACGTTTATATGACGGAGACACAGGTAAAGACGATATTATCAAACAGTCTTATTGATGGTATTTAGAAGAAAGAAATGTTTTAAGAATAATATTGGCTATTCAGTTAATTATACATAATATTCGCTATAAATCTAACTTCTTACTAATATTAAAAATGTGAAAGTTTAGATGTATGGATGGAAAGATGGATGAATGGATGTGTGTTAGAGTTTGTAGCCTAAATGGCTGAACGGATCTCGATGATATTTGGCATAGATGTAGAGGGTAGTCTGGAAGGACTCATAGGCTATTTACTTTTGTATTTTTTAATTCCACGCGGACGGATGCTAGTTAACAATATATTCGCAAAATTCAGAGAATAAAATTAAATACCTACCATTCTCCAAGCCCGTATTTACACAGACGTTTTTATAACGTGCGTTAAAAGTTATTCAAATATAAATGTTCCTACCAGCTATATTATCAGACTTTAACATCGGCAGTATAACTTACTGGAGAAGCTGCGTGAAGGGCATTATAACTACCGCAGCCTGCAGCCGGTGGTGCGGCAGACCGTGTACCAGCCGCCGATGGACTTCCTCATGGAGCCGCAGATCGTCACATCCATCAAGAACGCACTCATCTCTGTCGTTAACTTCTTTACTAATGTTAGAAGGTATTGCCAGATTAATAGATAAAGAGCGTGGAGTAATAAAAGTAGGATTAGGAGCAGATGCACTTTGATTAAACTATCGCAAAACTGTTTTGCGATTTTCTATTGTTTCGCAGCTAATTCAAATGTTTAGTTGCACTTAAAAATTGAAGTGTGTACTCATATAAGTTAATAGGAATCAAAGCGGGACTAAACAGTTGTACGATAGTGTTAGGTGTGCGCTCACTATAATAGTGATGATCGACCGAAGGGTATGGCTAGGCTAGGGGCAAAAATGTGTCACAGGTCTGCGAAACGAAATTAGTCTCATATGAATCATGTTTAATTCCCCCATCTCTCTCAAAAGTACTAAAAACAAACTGTATAATACTCGCCCTCGATATTAGATAAAACCGATATTTTGGCATAGTATTTGTTACCTTATTTGAACAAATAATTTTTCCATTTGTTTCAGCTTCATGATGAAAGGTTTCGACACGCCTTAGCGTTCAGCCCGCGGGTTGGATAACTTCCAAGTATCTCCTGCACAGATATCGTGTTTGGTAGATACTATATGGAAGGCTATAGAAAAACTCAACCCGTGCGCAGATCCTAAGTCGTACACGTGCACAGTACTACGCAAATTGTGTCGAAAACTAAAACTACCAGGCAGCACTTGTTAGAAATACTGGCTACTATTTCCCAACGTTTACGTATAGGAGACTAGCTAATCGCGATTTCGCCCGCGTAAAATTAAAAAGAAAATATAGCCTATGTTATGTGCACGGTAGTAATATATGCACAGTTTTTTTTTAAATCGGCCCCGTAGTTTTTTAATTATTTCAATACATACAAGAATGCAAATCTTTCCTCCTCATAATATTATGAGATTTAGAAGAGAATGGGACGCATAAGTAGGGGAAATGTCCCTTATGTGTCACCTCTGTTTAAAAATGGGCAAACGCATTTGTAAATGCTAATATTTATAGGCTTTTTAAAAAGTAACATTTGTACTAAAATGCAAAATAGATATATACTAGTATTAAGTAGCCCTTTGACCTCTAGATCTGCTAGCCTACAATTCTCAATCTTTTATTCCTTTTGGAAAAAACGTTGTTTATTTATTATGTGGTATTAAATAAAAAGCATATCCGAGTCGTATGTTTATTTCAATATTAACAACTTCACACACATCCCGCACTCGTCACTGCAATGTGAACTCTGACATATTACGAATAAGGTTTAAATTACAAACACACAAAAAATATATACAGGGTTGAATCTAGTTTACATTTATTTGTATTATTTATTTCAAATTAATACATAACGTTATTGTTAAAATAAATAACATGTTGGCAAACAAATTCGTTAGCTATTTCGAAAGCTTTAGCCATTTATGTAAAAGTGTTATTTTATACATTTGCGTTTATTCAAATATTTTAAATAGGGATAATAATATTTAAATTACTCTAATTTCACGGTAACATACGGTTAAAACATAAGTCATTTTAAAACAATGTCTACAGATTTTAATTAACATTTAGTTATAGCTTTAGCGTAACCTTGAACTGAACTTAAGCTACAATTTACAGCTTACGGCTCAAATCGAGTTACTATTACTGAGTTAAATCGCAAGCTGGATGACTAACTCACGCTTTAGTCATGTACAATCAGGGAAACTGTCGGTGTTCCATCTCAAGCTACTATAGAAGAACATTTTGAAACGAGACGCAGAACAAAACCCAATACAACAATAAATGTATACGAAAAAAGTCAGTTGGTCATACACAGTTCTTTTTTTTATTATTTTCAATTCTTTTGCACTTATAGCCGGTTTCCCAGCTATGTTTAACCATTCGTTAGTGTTTTTGTTTCGATAACTTCATGAAATGCGTTTCCGAACTACGTAACTAGAGTTTTAATCCGTTGAAACAAAACCTAACGATAATAAGTCAATAATGACAAAATAAATGGAAACCTCAGAAACTCACCTTTACTGCTTTCTAATAAGGCATTTGTAATAAGAGGCGGTGTTTGTTCCATTCTAATGTACAAGGCATTTTTTCCTAAGTGGAACAATGCAGATTTCCGCGACTGTACAAATTGAGCTGTGAGCTATTCACTGATCTGCTTCTGAGCTGAGCTGTAGATCAATTTTACTTGATTTACCCATCACTAATAAAAGAATCAACTATTATAAGGTACCTAGTTACGGATATCTAAACCCTTAAATACCTGAAGTTTCAAATTTTGATAACGGTTAAAAATCGCATTGGGCACCTACAATCGATTTTATTTTCATACTAGCTGTTCCGTGCGGCTTTATTCGCATAAAATTATGAAAATTTTATTTTATTGTTTACAATTGACAAATTATTATTAGCAAATGTCAAAATGACATGACATGACAAACCTTGGCAATCTTGTTTCCTTGATGATGGCAGCAACTTATGGTCTCTTTCCCACGTTAGGGTTTTTATCCAAAATATTTAGTCCCTAAGTTTAATGTCGTGAAAATATATAGCCTAAAGCGTGACGTAAGTGTAGGGCTTTTTTATTAAAGAAAGAATTATTCAAAAATATGCTGTAATTGCTGACATCTTAGGCAACAAAGAAGTGTGTGTTTACGCTTTATTATAATAGTATACATATCGTTTTTTTTTTTACTATTTTTCCCCAATTAGTAAAAAACATAGTAAAGGGTACATTTATACATTTTTAACTTGATTTAAAAATCAGGCTTTCAAGGATTAAAGATTTTAAATCGGATTTTCATAAACAAACTCATAGAATAGCCTTTTAAAGTTTACGAGTGTTGTCATTGTAAAATTAACCTAGAGACATCACAATAGGGGACAAAATCTATTTGTACATAATATACAAGATTTCCACTATAATGTATCGCTCACTATTTGCTTTAAACGTTTTTCTATATACTGCACTCGGGTCACCAACTTGTCTTTAGGATTGAACTCTGTGTATGGAATTTGAAGAACTTTGAAACCCT